TTAATATATATATAGAAACTTTTTATAAGAGAGTGGACATTAACCACTCATCAACTACATTACCAAATATCACAGTTATAAAGTAATAAATTAATATATATAGAAACTATTTATAAGACAGTGGACATTAACCACTTCCATCAACAACATTACCAAATATCACAGTTATAAAGTTAAGAATTAATATATATAGAAACTTTTTATAAGACAGTGGACACTAACCACTTCCATCAAGAACATTACCAAATATCACAGTTATAAAGTTATAAATTAATATATATAGTAACTATTTATAAACAGTGGACATTAACCACTTCTATTGACTATATTACCAAATATCACAGTTATAAAGTTATAAATTAATATATATAGTAACTATTTATAAGACAATGGACATTAACCACTCATCAACTATATTACCAAATATCACAGTTATAAAGTTATAAATTAATATATATAGAAACTATTTATAAGACAGTGGACACTGACCACTCCTATCAACTATATTACCAAATATCACAGTTATAAAGATATAAATTAATATATATGGTAACTATTTATAAGACAGTGGACATTAACCACTCCTATCAACTATATTACCAAATATCACAGTTATAAAGTTATAAATTAATATATATAGAAACCTTTTATAAGACAGTGGACATTAACCACTTCTATCAACTATATTACCAAATATCACAGTTATAAAGTTATAAATTAATATATATAGTAACTATTTATAAGACAGTGGACATTAACCACTTCTATCAACTATATTACCAAATATCACAGTTATAAAGTTATAAATTAATATATATAGTAACTATTTATAAAACAGTGGACATTAACCACTTCTATCAACTATATTGCCAAATATCACAGTTATAAAGTTATAAATTAATATATATAGAAAGTATTTATAAGACAGTGGACATTAACCACTTCTATCAACTATATTACCAAATATCACAGTTATAAAGTTATAAATTAATATATATAGTAACTATTTATAAAACAATGGACATTAACCACTCATCAACTATATTACCAAATATCACAGTTATAAAGTTATAAATTAATATATATAGTAAATATTTATAAGACAATGGACATTAACCACTCATCAACTATATTACCAAATATCACAGTTATAAAGTTATAAATTAATATATATAGAAACTATTTATAAGACAGTGGACATTAACCACTTCTATCAACTATATTACCAAATATCACAGTTATAAAGTTATAAATTAATATATATAGTAACTATTTATAAAACAATGGACATTAACCACTCATCAACTATATTGCCAAATATCACAGTTATAAAGTTATAAATTAATATATATAGAAACTATTTATAAGACAGTGGACATTAACCACTTCTATCAACTATATTACCAAATATCACAGTTATAAAGTTATAAATTAATTTATATAGTAACTATTTATAAAACAATGGACATTAACCACTCATCAACTATATTACCAAATATCACAGTTATAAAGTTATAAATTAATATATATAGTAAATATTTATAAGACAATGGACATTAACCACTCATCAACTATATTACCAAATATCACAGTTATAAAGTTATAAATTAATATATATAGTAACTATTTATAAAACAGTGGACATTAACCACTTCTATCAACTATATTACCAAATATCACAGTTATAAAGTTATAAATTAATATATATAGTAACTATTTATAAACAGTGGACATTAACCACCTTCTATTGACCTATATTACCAAATATCACAGTTATAAAGTTATAAATTAATATATATAGTAACTATTTATAAGACAATGGACATTAACCACTCATCAACTATATTACCAAATATCACAGTTATAAAGTTATAAATTAATATATATAGAAACTATTTATAAGACAGTGGACACTGACCACTCCTATCAACTATATTACCAAATATCACAGTTATAAAGATATAAATTAATATATATGGTAACTATTTATAAGACAGTGGACATTAACCACTCCTATCAACTATATTACCAAATATCACAGTTATAAAGTTATAAATTAATATATATAGAAACCTTTTATAAGACAGTGGACATTAACCACTTCTATCAACTATATTACCAAATATCACAGTTATAAAGTTATAAATTAATATATATAGTAACTATTTATAAGACAATGGACATTAACCACTTCTATCAACTATATTACCAAATATCACAGTTATAAAGTTATAAATTAATATATATAGTAACTATTTATAAGACAGTGGACATTAACCACTTCTATCAACTATATTACCAAATATCACAGTTATAAAGATATAAATTAATATATATGGTAAGTATTTATAAGACAGTGGACATTAACCACTTCTATCAACTATATTACCAAATATCACAGTTATAAAGTTATAAATTAATATATATAGTAACTATTTATAAGA